GATATACAAGTCATTTACAGGAAACATCACTGTGACTTGATACTTGGGTATGTGTTTAAAATTTTCTTCACTGAACATAAATGTTTGAATATTTGTGAATATGATTACATGTTCATTACTTCCACTTTATAGTTGTATATATATATTACATAAATGTTATTGCTTATTTTTTGCTCATCAAGTATTTGTTTTTAAATTACTTGATTAAAAAAATGTAAATGCTGATAGGTAATTTAAGAGTTTCAACATCCGAAGATCTTATATCAAACAGCTTGTGTCACATGTTGTTCATGAATATTGTTTCATAAACAACTCATATTAAAAATGTAAAACACCTGTGGTAGTTACATGATTAATGTTTATTACTTGTGTTTAAGAGCAAAAAATCTGTCCAGATATATATTGTTTACTGCATAAAAACAATTTTAACTACAGAAATGATTAGTGGAAGTCTTAGTGCTATTATACAGAAGTCATTTTTGTGTAAAAAATTATGTACTTCAAGTTACAAGAAAGGTTTAAACAGTAAATAGTGGCATCTTAAATCAGAAAGTCCTGAAGTGTTTGAAATATTATGAATACTTACAGCTTTGATACGACAGATGCGACCAGTACAGCAGTGTAATGATATTTTTTTCCAAGTTGTATTTCTTATTATTGAACTTATATGATAATATTGTTTATTGCATAATAATGTTACTTATTTATATATGTTGCTATGGCACAGGTTTCCTAAAAAAAATAATTGTGCATGTAAACAAGCAAAATCAATTTCAGTATGCCATAAAGTTTAGTGAATTTGAATAAAACAAGTGTGGAGAGAGGGATTTGACTGTAAGGTTACATTGCACATATGAACCTTTGTTTGTGTGAAACATAGTTTACCTATACTGATACCGTAATTGGTACTCTTGATGTTCACATTGTTGTAAAATATATATATATATATACTTATGTATAGTGTGATAACATTTGAAAGTACTAAATGGCTAAAGTAGTTGAAAGAACTAAGCAAGAAATGTGTTTAATGTTTTGGTGGTTATACAACTTTCATGAAGACTGGTGAATATATTCTGATTTAAGGCATTGACCATATTTTCTCTATTCATCTAGCTCAGCCCTCCTTTTTATTTATTTTTCTCATTTATATTAAGACATTACTTTCTAGTTTCTAAACAAACTTAGAATACCTTTAAACTGGAACAGGTGCAAATTGAATATGCTCTTGTTAGTTAACTAAGTCTGTATGGATGTAAGAAAGACTTACTACAAGAAAAAAAAAAAGAGTCCAGTTGAATTTGCCTTAAGCTTGCTTATGCTTTGCTATTTCCAAGCTTGTGGTTATTAAGTCATGTTGTACTTCATATATTATTGTAAAGCATTATTTCCTAAATATTTCTAATATACATGCAATTCAACAAGTTGGCACACTAATTCTAAGATTTAGTGTGTTAATTGTGTTTCAGTTCATAGTATTAATCGTGATAGGTAAATCTAAGTATTCATTGATGTATGTGTTAAAACTGAACTGTAATATGTATGTTCAAGCTGAGAACAATGTCCAAGAAAGTTTAGTAGCAAAATTGGTTGTCTTTAAAACATACAAAAGGAGTAAAAGAGGGAACTCCAGAAAATGTTATAGCTGGCAGAAAAAGTGCTTATTTGATGTAAATGTTACAATATTGATGTTTACTTATACAAATTATTAAGTTTATCTGTGTTAAATTCTTACAAAGGTACATATAACAGACCAGTATTCTAAATACACATATACATTGAAGTTGATGATTATTTTTTGTAAATCCTTCTGACAACAAAATAGGTCAGATTGTTATTCATCTTACTTTTTTTTAAATCCATTTGACATGTTTAATTTTCCAAACATTTGTAAAAAATATGGTGGTGGCAGTTTCATGACTTTGTTGAGCTTTGAATAATGTAAGCTCATGGTTATAGTTATTTATTCAAATAATCTTGTTCAGATGAGCAACTTTACAAATAAGTAGTGAAAAAATACTAAATTGAACATTGTTATGAGGGATAAAGTTCAATGTGTTATTGACTTTGCTCCATTTCTCACAGTATTAAAATACATTTTGAAATGCATTTAGTGCTAATCCAACAAATGAGTAGGTTAATAGATTAACCAATTTGTCCCTAATTGGGAACATACATTTTAAATGGCAGTTGCCAGAAAGTGGCTGATAAAGATTGTGGTAGTGAATATGATAGCTGTTTTATTTTATAGATGACAGGTTTTATTTTCACATAGCATTGAAGGTTATATTTCCTATTAGTTGTAAGCTGGTATTTGCATGCATTAGGAAAAGTGTTATATCATGAAAATGGAAAATTGGAAAGTGGTCAATTACATCAGTGTAGCAGTTATTTCAATGTAAACCTTATGAAATTTGTTTCTTATTCAGTTTCTAAAATACTTGTAAATTTAAACTTTTATATTGTGACTTTCCTCTTCTAACAAACTTCACTTGGACAACTTCCACATTAGTTGATATTTTAAGAAGAAAAAATTTAAAAATGCATCAGATTTCGTACTCAGGGTCACACGGGTGTTCAGTTTAGTTGTTTTTTAAATAAATCTTCAAAGAAATTAAAATACAGTGTTATTACTTGACTTTTGGTTAATAATCATAATTAATAAACCATTTAGAAATTTGAATTTCACAAAAAAATTAGACTTTTAGTTACTAACTTCACACAAATCCTTAGTAATCTAGCATTGTTTATGTAAATAGCATAAGTACCATGTTCATTACTATGAATCTTAATTATGTGCTTTCTGACAATTTGCCATTTTAAATATATGTTCTTGCTTTTGAGGAAATTGGTGTTTTTATAATGAATCCATTTTAGAATGGATTTTAGTGTTGACATAGTATTGAAACAAATATCATAAAATGTTGTCAGGTAGACCAGTAGGGATCACTACCTGCAAGAAAATATTTTGTATAAGAGTCTTGGGGTGAAAAAATGAGATTAAAGTCATAGAAAATTGGTGTTTATTTTTGCATATTTCTTTATACAAAATTTGCCAATAAATGACATTCAGTTCTAGAACAATCTAGATACTTTCAGGTTTAATAACTTTAAAGCATAACTTCACGTCAGTTTACTTACACTAGAACCAATAAAATTTTCTGTTATTTTTGCTGTGATTACTGTTAACTATACTTAAATTATGATTTAATTTTGTCTGTAATATAGGAGCAGCATTTTTAAAGATACGTGCAACTAGTTCCAAGACCGATTATGTTATGTTTATCCTAGAATTAACTTTTATATAGGCTTCTGAACAACTCTTAAAACTCAATATTTGTTATGTAAATGTTAGTAATATATTGCACAAAACAATTTCAAGATAATTGAAATATGCAATATTATAGCTAAAACAAAGTAAAAACCACTGTTATAATCTTGTTCAATTATTTCATCCATTCCTTGTTATGAAAATCAGGCACGTCACTAAGTTTCAATCTCAATATGTATGGAATGCACTCAGGAAAAGCCTCTTGCCATCAAGTGATCTTAGATAGTAGGGATATCCTGAAACTCTCATAAAAATGGTTGAGAAAATGATTGTTGATGACCATATAGTTTTGTCCAGTATACTATACTTGGTCCTGTTCTTCTAATTCAGTTGCATCTTGAATTACTGCCTGTGACATTAAAGCATAAGCAGAGCTGCTGCTATAAGTTATTTATCTTGTTAGTAAGATTTTCTAAAGTGTGACAAAATATTTCAGTAAACAACCAAGAGCAACAGTCATTTGTTCAAGTTCTATCTGATTTTTGTGTTGTAATCCACTTTAATAGTAAAACTGTCTTTACAGCTTTAAATAACTTGCCAAAGAAATTGATTTTCTTAAACTTTTCCTGTTGCTTGTATGTTATTAAGATCACTAATAATATTTTTTATAGAAAAATGCTAATTTAAATCTACATACATATATATAACAGCTATAGCAGCTTATTATGTTTTAATAAAAAGCTAATTTCATTACCATTAGTTTTGGCTTGTGTTTATTTTTCCATTTACACAAGATATTTATTTATATGCTTTATATAAAAAAAGTTGGGATTCAATAGGAACAGTGCAGATAACCCATTGTGTGGCTTTGAACTCATGCAAAACAAAGAAACAGCATGTGAAGAATTCTGTTTGTTTTCTCTTGTAATTTTGAACTAGCTTAGAATTATTGTTTGCAATTTATTGGTATTTTTAGTGTGTTTTTTTACATTGAATTAAAATTTGCAAGAAAGTGTATTTGTAAGTGTTTTCCAATAAATATAACTCATTAACTGTTAATGAGAGTAGGAAAAAACTAAAAAATATTATAGAATTGATATCAAAAGTTTATATAACTGCCATTTTAAGATAATGCCTGCAGTATTTTTTTCCTGAACTTGCAGTTTCTGTTTTGCCACAGTGAGCCCTGACAGATTTGCACAAACACAGTTTTTGTGTTTTAGTCTGTTACCAAATAGCATAGATGCAAGTACTCAAGTAAAAGTCTTGAAAATAAAGGCTCTTTTTTTTTCTTAACCAAATACAAAAGTTGGTTTGATTTAAAAATGATTTCACTCAAAAAAATGTAAGAACTATTGTGCATTTGGTCGGCCATGCTCAACACCAGTAAACAAACAGTAGATATTTAAATAATTAAAATAAAACAGGATATGATTTTTGTAGACGTTTACTCCTGTTAGTATAGCTTGAAAAGTGACTGACATTAAATATTAAGATTTAATTTGCAGAGGCTTATAGATTCATTTCATACAAAACCCAATAAAGTCATCAAAAGCTGAGGTTATTAATTACCTCTTGTACTAATGAAGTCTAAATCAATTTTTAGAAAATGAGATAATGCATTTTAAGCTAATATTTTAATGATTAGATGGGAACATAAAATTGGGGAGTGTAGTGTTATATCATTATGAATCAAAAATAGAATGGTTAGAAGTCCATTCTTTCATATTAGTGAAGAGGAGGAGGTTGATGACTCAGTAGTTGTTGAAGAAGAAGATGAAGATGAAGAAGATGCAGAAGCAGAAGAAGGAGGAGGTAGGTGTGTCATACTATTTAAGTTGAATGTTGTGAAGAACCAAAAATACAAGTTGGGAGTGGCTGCCAAAATAACAGTTGTCAACTGCAGGCTATAGTAAACAGCAAGAGTTTGAATAACTAAATTATAAATAAAGTAACAAGTTAGATTGGCAACATCCAAAAAACAGCTGTGATGCAGATCTTCCATTCTATATGATAAAGATCTTTACAGAGAAGACCAGTCAGTCAGTTGAAATCTGATAGGAAAATAAGCCAGCAAGCATGGAAAATTTAATTTCCTATGCTCATATATATGAGTAGTGGATATACAAGGGCTAGATGTCTTTTTGCATACACTCGTTTTGTCAGCTTGTTAAAGTTAACTTGCTTGTAGAGTAATTGTGGTGCTAAAAATAAACAAGTAGAGTTCAGTAAGTACCCACTTTTCTTTCTGTTTATCATTAAACTATAAATGTTCTCACTGTGTGTATTTCAACATTGTTTCCCTTGATGATGCTACCATGCATAACTAGTAGCACAATAATTAGGGCCATTATTCGAACTCATAAGAGGTCAGAATAAGCCATGAAATACATGGGAAGGTGGTATGTTCAGAGGTTTAGAGAGATGTTATAGAATAATTACATGTACCCTTGGCTCTCAAACAAATCTTGGATTCAATGGTGAGGAATATACTCCTGTAGAGATACTTTGTAATTATGGATGAACTAAGCATTAATTTTACATAATGTCAGTTACTCTGCAACCAAAATTTAAACTTTTTGCCACCATGAACCATGTTTATTTTGGAATGAGAGGGCAAGATGTTGATTGATTATAGGTTTTCTGCACATGATGTTTATCATATTTATGCATACATCATACAATGTTACAACAATCATTGGTTGGTGCATAGGTCAGTCAGCCAATATTATTAATAGGCCACTCATTTATCAAGCAATTTTTGGGATCCTCTAGGAAACACTTTTTGGTGAGGATGAGACAAAAATGCTTGGAATCTGCTGCTGAGAATAAGATGAGTGTCTAAAGTTTTGCTGTATTTATTATGACCTTGAAAATGATATTGTTCAGAACACCTTGTATGACAAGTGAAATTTGTGCAGAATGAATAAAAATTACAAGTCACTTGCCCTGTTAGATGAATGGCCAGTCCAAAAAATTTCAAGCTCTGATTTGTATTTGCATATCATTGTCTTGGTGAATCCAAGGTTATTTATGAATGACTCGTAAAAACACAAAAATTTATTCACATAAAAAGTGAACAACTAATTTTACTTTAAATGTAAAATCTCTTAATCTAATTTTTAGAAAAACTAAGAATTTTGTCATTCATGTACATTTGTTTTTTCTACTGAAATCCTTTTAATTCTAACCATTAATTTAGTCATCCACATGTGCAACTGTATTTAGCTTTATTAAGAAAAGAAAAGGGTAACCCTAATACTGTATAAAATTGTAAATTTAACTTGTCACTAGATAAATGACTAAATTTTAATGATGTTATATTAGGTCAAGATTTTAGAGGGGGGAAAAAGAAAATATATTTTTCTAGTGTATGCAGTATTATTTGAAAACTATTATATAGCACAGTTTATGATTTTGTTGTCAGAATGTGAAATTGAGGTTCTGATAGTTGAAGGTATTGATTTAAGATTACCATTTCTTATTTAGTCCTCTATATACAAATACTGGTGATTAAAAATATTGTAAGGGCATACATTTTTTTTCCTTCACATGAATTTAAGAATTTTGTTTTACAAAGCACTTGCTATATTAGATAAGAAAGAAACTACTAATCACACTTATTACAACACCTAACTTCATTTTTTTTAGTACATTATCTACATTTAGTACATTATTTAGTACATTTAGTACATTGTTTTTCAGTTTCTGTTGTCACTTTTATGTGAAGGTCGTGACTAAGTTATTAACACTTTGGGAACCTGTATTAACTTTAAAAAAAAAAAAAGAAGGAAGGGTGAAGGAATTGCAAATAAAGAACCAGTAGTTTTTCTTTTAAGATTTCTTTAAATTTAATTCTGCAGTAAAAGGCATTAAAGATTACTTGGTTTCAAACCAGATTCAGGCACAAAATGACATAATGAGATAAAATTAATTTTCTTCACCAACGTATACAAATTTTACTATCTAGTTATTGCAAACTTATAAAAACCTAATCATACCTATAAATATTCCAATTTTTTTTTAGCTCATCTGCCCCTTACACTTGTACATTACTGGTGTTGAGCACAGTCGACCTCATGTTATGTGTTGTGAGTGTTATTCTAAGAAACAACGCTTTGTGTGCATCTACTTAGTGATAAAACTGTCTTGATTAATTAATTATATAAATAGAACACAATCAGAAATTGAACTTTAATATGGAGAGGTTAAAAAAGGAATGTTGTACAGTAGTTTATAGTATTTATCTTGGTTGTTATTTATTAATTTTCAAATGATTTAAAATTGCAGCATCATTAATTTCAGAGAAATTGGCATGGTGTCTATTGCTGTGGTACTGGCTTTTTTAAGAGTTCAGATTACTAACAGAAATGTACCGGATGTTAATCTAGTAAAATATTTTCTTTAATTAAAGAGAGTAATATATTTTCACATTTTTTTCAGTGTTTATTTTTTATGACCTGATTAGATACTGTTTTAGGCTTTTGTTGTTATCACATGATCGATAATGGGATGATTATATCCATCTGGCTATGAAATGGCTAATTAATATTAATTTGTTTATACTTACACAAAGTATTGTTGGTTCCTGCCATGAGTTTGAGTGAAATCAGAATTATTAGAACCAGCAGTCTTCTGGATCAGCTGCTAAACTTCATAAACCTTTTTACCTGAACATGTTTTTAATGCTAAATGAAAGAAATAAGAACATACGCATTAATATGACATAGTTGTACCGATTGGTTTTGAAAAAAAAAAAGCTTGCTCTGTGTTATTTTGATTAATTTTTATAAAAATGTTAATTTTCTTGCTTTGACTACCTAAGTAATAAAAGTATTGTGCAGAATTTGTCATTTGTTGTTTTATCATATATGTGAGTATGTGATGTAACAAATTAAAGCACTTATCTTAAAAGCTTAATGTGGCATTGGCCACTTCTGAACAGTATTTGTTTGGAAGTTTCAGCTGTAATTTGCACCACTTCTCAGTAAGAAACACCCCAAATTCTTCTACGGATGTAAGAGCAAAAAAAGTAATGATATTGAATTTCAAAATATACTTTATTGAATAGGTCCAAGATCTGTAAATTGAGTAGGCTATAGTAGATTACAAAAATTGCATAGTTTCAGGCATCTTCTGTGGCCTTTCCAATTTACAGTTCTTAGTCCCATTCAATCATTATTGATTATTTTTGAAAGTATGATCCATTCTACATCAAAAACATCTGTACTTCATTATCATTGGAACCAGAATTTGAAGAATAGACTTCCTTACAAAGGTGAAAGTTTAGTTGATTCATCTGATCAGATCACTTTTTACAACTTCTCTCAAGTCCATAGTTTGTGATCATTTTATCATGCAGCCCCAGTGGTTAGTGTGCCAAACTGTGGATCTGAGTTTCCTTTCTTATGTTCCATTACCAGCAAAAACAAAAATTCCCCTCTGCACTTTGGGACCATGATGAATTATAAGAGAGACAGTCAAATCCCACTATTTGATTCAAGTAGCTCACAAGTTGGTGGTGGATGTTGTTGACTAGCTGCTTTCACTCTAGTGTATCAAAATTATGTACAGCTAGCACAGATAGCCTTTAAGTTGCTCTGTGTGAAATTCAACAACTTACATTTACATTTTTGTAATGCCATAAAGTGAGTTTCATTACCCATGATGGGCAGAACAAATAGTCTTGTATTTAATAACAAACTAACTAACATATTTTACTCTTTTTCATGAACAAACCTGTCTTTCTAAGAGTGATCAGTGGCATTTTTATACAGCTGGTTTATCATGGTATCCCACAAGATTGAGTCTGTGTCATGCAGTTTCAAAAGAAACATTTCAAATGCATTAACCACTGAACTCTTATTATTATTTGTTTTGTTGCATGGCTCAGTTTACAGCAGTCCTAGTTACACAAACTGTATTTTTGCTACCTTTGATCAATGCACTTCAGGTTTCATCATTTGTGCTCCATGTTGAAATACAATAACAATTGGTTTTCTTTGCACATTAGTAATCTGTGTAGGACTTGGTTAAGTCCTTGGACATCTGCAAAGCAAGTCCAAACTGTTATACCTCATTTGAAGTTTGATCCTTCCTTGAAGACATAATGTCAGAAGTTGTAACACAGTAAGGATTCTTTTATATACACACACACACATGTGAGAATGGGTTAAATGTAATTTGTAATTTCAACATGAATACTTTCCACTTACAGTAAAGGATCCAGTATTCCATTGAACAAGTTAATATTTCCTTTTTTCATTGAGAAGCAGTAAGTTGTTTTCTAACTCTGCATTATTATTTCAAACCAATATTTTTAACTTAAGGTTGCATGTTAAACTAAGGTTAATACTGAATTAGTATATTATATAGATTAGTATGTGTGTAAGGATATATGCACTTGATCCTAGCAAAAATACTTTTTTGAACTTGGAAAAAAAGCTTCAAATGGTTAATTGTTACATAATTATAAGCTTGTATGAAAAATTATCTAAACTTGTATATTAAACCCAAGACATGCCCTTTGTAGATTGCTGATTCAGGCCTTTAAAATATGTAAATCACTTGGCTGAATTTTATTCTTAAAATAACTGCCTTAAGGTAATTTTTATGGTAATTTCATAATCTGTGGAAGTTTCCAGAATATACATCAAACCAGAAGGTAAAGGGTATGGAAAAAGAGATAAAACAAAGGATAGAAATGGCAAAAATAATATTCTTAAATATTAAAGACTTGCTCAGGAAATATGTCAACCTAAAATTGGACAAGAGACAATTGAAATGTTATGTATATGGGGTGGAAGTGTAAACCG